AAACTGATGAAATACAAATCCAACTATACTGCATCACCCTGTGAATCCAGACAGGGAAACCGTCTCCCCCATAATGGACAAAAAGTCCAAGAATTCTTCACTCTCTTCGCAGTTACCCAGTATGGCCTCTTCTGAGAGCTGAAAGACAGCGAGACAGTGAGCCAGGGGGGAACAAGCAGGCAGAGTCAGAAGCACAGAGGAACACACAATCCCACCCGAGTCAGACAGAGAGACAGCGGGACAGTGTGACGAGCAGAACTGGAGTGGGGCAGATGGGCAGGACAGAGCACAAAGAAAAGCAAGTGGACAGACAAGAGACTACAGCCTTCTGGTGTAAAAAATGTTAATTTGTTGGAATGGCCGTATGGGTGTTACATAATGGAAATACACCCGTAGATAATTATTAACAACATGACATGCGGCGTATTTATCATTGCTCGAGATTCAAGATCCCAGGATCTCGGGGAACACGAGCCACGTTAATCACAGAATCTCGCGATCTTAAAACGCCACTAGCAGTGGATTTGGTATAACGGACACAGTGGGCAGACAAGTATACTGACAGAGCGAATAAAGATTCAACAGACTGAACTCGCTGACAATCTAAGGGACCGCTGAGGGACTGCTCCGTTCTGGACAGGGTGGGGAGCTGTCCAGCTACTTCATCCAATCCCGGGTCGCAGGGGAGCCGGAGCCTATCCTGGCAAGCAACGAGCACACAAGGCAGGGTACACCCTGGGAGGGATGCCAGTCCATCACAGGGCACACAGACACACTCACAGCAGGACCAATTTAGGGCAATTAACCCTACCAGCGTGTTTCTGGACTGTGTGAGAGAGCTGGAAAAGCTGGAGCACTCAGAGGAAACCCATGCAAACATGGGGAGAACATGCAAACTCCACACAGACAGCACCCCAGAAATCAACCCCAGGGAAACAGTGCTGCGAGGCAGCAAGGCAGACCACTGGTCTACTGTGCCACCCACCAACTGGTATAATTCTCTACATTTAACAAAGCTGTGGAGCTGTGGTGTTGGGCGCCCCCTGGTAAAAGAAGCAGATACAGACAGACCACGCATTCTGGAGACACAGTCACAGTCATGGAAAAGACAAGCGCATGGAGGAACATCCCAACCTGGCCCTCTCGCTGATACAGCACTCCGAATTTAAAGTTTTCTGATATCCTGTGCTCGTCAAACGCTGCAATCAGCTCTGGTGCCTATGAGAGACAAGTGAGGAGTTAATACAGACTCCCCTGACCAACTGGACACTACAAAACTGGCCTAAACTGACTGGATCATACAGCAGATTAAACCTGCTGGCTGTGCACAAGAGAAAATTTATACTGACGGACTGGACACTACAGCACAGCGACACTGACTGACTGACTGGACACTACAGCACAGAGACCCTGACTGACTGGACACTACAGCACAGTGACCCTGACTGACTGACTGGACACTACAGCACAGAGACACTGACTGACTGACTGGACACTACAGCACAGAGACACTGACTGACTGGACACTACAGCACAGAGACACTGACTGACTGACTGGACACTACAGCACAG